GGACATTTAAATAACATTACATTTTTTATTTATTAAAGACAACAGAATATAACATTTAACAAAGTACAATAATCAACATAAAAACAAAACACAAAAACATAGAGCAACTATTTTGGCCAACTTATAATTTAAATTCCTTTTCTCTCTCTCGCTTCCTTTTTTGTAAAAAACAAACAAACCCAAAACAAAACAAAAACACATTTCTAAAAACTGAAATTGTAATGTGAATCTTAAATCAGAAAATACAATAATTTAACACACACACCGACACAAATTTAGTTAAATAAAACAAAAGTAATGTGGTAGTGCAGCTTAAACACACTGCTAGACCCCCTTATATTGATATTTTGGCCAATTTGTAATACAATTTTTTATTTTTTTATTTAAAAATTTTAATTACATTTTTTTAATTTAAAATTTTAAATGCTTTTTTTTTTTTTTTTTTAACATTGTATTGTTTAAAAAATCATAATGTGGTATTTAAATCAGTATCATTAATATTTTCTTCTGTCTTAATGTGTATTTTTTGTTGTTGTTGTTAATGTTTTTTTTTAAGTTTTCAGACTATCTTAAAGGTTACTGTTTTATCTGGAATGTTCCACAGTATGGCATTAAACCTTTCTATCTTCATTGAGACGGAAACCAGATCAAGTTACAGGTCAGATCTGTGGAAAGGCGACGCCGCTCACAGTCAGAATTTAGTTTTTCTGGGCATTTTTGAGCTTTTAAAACCACCCGTGATTGAATAAAGGTAAAGTAGAGCTGTTTAAAGTCACACTGTGGAACATTCTCTCCATCTCCGTGTGCAGTTGCGTCGCTGTGGTAACCGCCGAACATTCTACCCTAGACATCCATGCGTTTCCGCGTTGAGTTGTACATCTGAGAGACTTGGTTGTGAATTCTCCTGGCTGACGCTCGGGACGTTTGGGGAATTACATTCTGGGTTTGTGATAAGTTCCTGTTTTGTGAGGAGCACAGGGAGCAGGAGAGGATCCAAACCAGATTAACAAAGACCAGAGTCCAGCAGCAGAACTAATCCTCATTTAATGACCAAACCAGTGGACCAGACCAGAGCAGAGCAGAGCAGAGCAGAGCGGAGCAGAGCGAGGCCACCAGGACAAACCCCGAGACACTCCACACACAAAAGGACGATTCTGGACTCAAATCTGGACTTTGTATTTTTAATTTTTAGTTGTTTTGTTTTGGTATTCAGTTATTTAGAGTGTGTCTGTTTCTACCAATGCAAAACAAAATCACAGCTCCCCCTAGTGACAAAAAACAAAATCACTAAAATCAATTCAGGATGCAGAACTTTTTCTTTTTACATTATTGTCAAACTTAAAGAGAACTTATCCTCTGTGTTTGACCTTTGACCTTTGACCCTTGACTCGTCCTTCAGTGTCTCTGGGTCAAACGTGTCCAGAGCAAAAGGACCAGGTCCAGATCTTGAGCTGGTCTTGGTCTTGGTCTTGGTCTGGACTATCTCTGCTGACCTGTTGTGATTTTTAGTATTATTAATATTAGTAGTAGTTGAAGAAGTACAAGAAGTAGTAAGTTGAAGAAGTAGTAGTACTACTAGTAGTAGTAGTAGTAGTAGTAGTGGTAGTAGTAGTAATAGTAGAAGAAGTATTAAAAGTAGTGGTAGTAGTGATAGTAGTAGTAGTAATAGTAAAAGAAGTAGAAGTAGTACAGTAGTAGTAGTAGTAGTAGTAGTAGTAGTAGTAGTAGTAGTAGTAGTAGTAGTAGTAGTAGTAGTAGTAGTAGTAGTAGTAGTAGAAGTAGTAGTAGTAATAGTAGTGGTAGTAGTAGTAGTAGTAGTAGTAGTAGTAATAGTAGAAGTAGTAGTAGTAGTAGTAGTAGTAGAAGTAGTAGTGGTAATAGTAGTACAGTAGTAGTAGTAGTACTAGTAGTGGTATTAATAGTAGTAGTACTAGTAGTGGTGGTAATAGCAGAAGAAGTAGTAGTAGTAGTAGTAGAAGTATTAGTAATAGTCATAGTAGTAGTAGTAGTAGAAGAAGTAGTAGTAGTAGTAGTAGTGGTAGTAGTAGTAGTCGTAGAAGTATTAGTAGTAATAGTAGTGGTAGTTGTAGTACAGTAATAATAGCAGTACTACTACTACTACTACTACTACTACTATGTAGTGGTAATAGTAGAAGAAGTAGTAGTAGTAGTAGTAGTAGTAGTAGTAGTAGTAGTAGTAGTAGTAGTAGTAGTAGTAGTAGTAGTAGTAGTAGTAGTAGTAGTAGTAGTAGTAGTAGTAGTAGTAGTAGTAGTAGTAGTAGTAGTAGTAGTAGTAGTAGTAGTAGTAGTTGTAGTAGTTGTACTGCAGTAGTCTGGTCACCCTCATGTAAACAATTCTGATATTGTTTTTGTTGTTTATGAAATAGTTCAGAAAAGGCAGGACCAGGAGAAGACACATGATAATAATAATAATAATAATAATGATAATAATGATAATAATAATGATAATAATAATAATAATAATAATAATAATAATAATAATAATAATAATGATAATAATGATAATAATAATGATAATAATGATAATAATAATAATGATAATAATAATGATAATTCCACATGAAAACAACATCAGAGAAACAAAACAACAACTCCAGTTTTGTTTTTGACCAAACAACATGACGCGAAGAACAGAACAGTTTTTTTTTATCAGCACCTCAAGAGCTCGGATGAGAATTAGCTCGTCTCTCTTAAGAATCGCTCATGTGGTGATTTATTTCCTGATTTAAAATTCATGATTTCCATAATTGACATGCGACACTTTTGAGCCAATGACAGCCTCTCTCCAATATTCATAATCACTGATCCAAATCTGGAAATCTGAATATTTCATGCTGTAATTTTTGGGGCTGAATTCATAAATGAGTAAAATGTGATTGGGTTTTTTTTAGTTTTTTTTTTTAGCTTCAGTCAAATTGAAAGTTGCACTGGAGTGTGACAAGGAGACACGATGGCCTCCACAAATATTAAGAAATACTCGATGTTAAAATGTCGATTGATGAAAAGTTAATAAGTGTTTTTTAATTTAGACAGAAATCACAGAGGTGCGGCGCTCTTCTCTGAAAACATTTACATTTTTTATGCGTTTATATGGTGCGAATTTATGTTTGCGTGCAGTTTAATAACCGTTTAATGTTATCAATTAAACATATTTATGCAATTAAATTTTTTATCTTGTCAAAAAAAATCATTGAATTGGACAAAACAAACACATTATAAACTTCTAATTATTTACACATAACAATAACAACTAATGTGTACGTTTAAAGCCACAGTATGTAACTTTTTCGACAATAAATTAAGATTAAATAGTAGTTGTAGTAGCTGAGTTTTGGCCTGAAGGGGGCAGCAGAAGACCTGGTTTAGTCCCGGTTCAGTCCTAGTTTAGACTCGGTCCTCTTTGTGTTTGATTTACGCCTGTGTGGGCTCAGACTCAAAGCTTAAAGGTGTATTGTGTAACTTTACGGTAGCCTAAATCGACAGTGGCATCTTAGTCGAAATAAGCTACCTTACATTTTTTCATTTACAGTTGTTTAGATGCAATAAAAAACCCTGACCTCCCCAGTTTTACAACATGTTTCTTTGGTTTAGAGACGAAGGTTTGATTCTGTTTGCACACGGTGATCAAACTTTAAACAATAGTTATGCACAATTTTAACTAATTTATATGATTATGCTTAGGTAGTTCATTTCGACAGTCATGTTCTGCTTAAACAGAGCTCCAACTAAAGGGAGCACATATCGACAGGACAATTTATCCATCGAATAAAGCTCCCACTGTAGAATCAACATTATTCACTCATTTATATGAATTTGATTAAAGGTAGCTCATTTCGACAGGCCTATATCGTCTATCAAATAAGACTCCCACTAAAGAAGAAAAAGAAATGACTGGAAACACTGAAATCTTTATCCATCCATTTTTTTCCGCTTATCCAGGACTGAGTCATGGGGACAGCAGTCTAAGCAGGGGCTCCCAGACTTCCTTCACCCTAGACACTTCCTCCAGCTCCTCCAGGGGGACCCCGAGGTGTTCCCAGGCCAGACCAGAAACATAGTCCCTCCAGTGTGTCCTGGGTCTTTCCTGGGGTCTCCTTCCAGTGGGACATGCCCAGAACACCTCCCAAATGAGGTGTCCAGGAGGCGTCCAGAACAAATGCCCGAGCCTCAACTGCTCCTCTCGACGTGGAGGAGCAGCGGCTCTACTCCGAGCTCCTCCCGTGTGACTGAGATCCTCACTCTATCTCTAAGGCTGCGTTCAGACTGCAGCCTGAAGTGACCCAAATCAGATTTTTTGGCCCCTATGTTCCTGTATCTGATCTTTTAATGACAGTCTGAATGACACAGATCCGATTTTTTTCAAATGTGACCCAGGACACTTGGATATGTGCTCCTGAAACTGATACATATCTGATCTTTTGACATGTGACTTCAGTGTGAACGGCCAAAGTGCATTCATCCACCTACACGTTATCAACAAGACACAAACGTCACTATTCTGCGCTGAAGTAGGCGAAAATTGTTAATGAACTCCATGTCACTGAAGTGAAGCACATCACCACTCACCACTCTTGGCTCCGTCTCCACATCCACACGTTCCTTTCAACGGACGTCGCTGCCGCTGCCCCACAAAACACCACGACCAAAAACCTCGTCCTTCTCCTTCTCAATCTCCTCCTTAAAACAAGTAAGTTGTTCATGTTCTGGCTCCGGTACGAGAGGAACTTTAAAATCTCCAGGTGCTCGATGCTGCGTCCATGTTTGGACAACTTCAGTAAACACAGAGACGCTCACTGCGGTTGACGTCGTCGTGTCTCCAGTGTCACATGTGGGACACTTTTGGGCCGTTTAATGTTCACACTGGAGTCACATACAAGTCACATTTAACTGGAAATGTGAACGACCTTGAAAAATCATCGGATTTCACAAAAAAATCGGAATTGGACGTTAAGCCCTGCAGTCTGAACGTAGCCTAAGGGAGCGCCCAGCCGCCCTGCGAAGGAAACTCATTTGGGCCGCTTGTCTCCTTGATCTCGTCCTTTCGGTCATTACCCAGAGTTCATGACCATAGGTGAGGGGAGGAACGCAAACTGAACAGTAAATCGAGAGCTTTGCCTTTCATCTCAGACGGCTGAAGTCTTTATATTAAGTAAATATCAAAGGCTACAGTGTGAATTTCCTATTATAATACAGTGATATTTTATTTATGCAGCACCTTTCTAAACAAAGTTACAATGTTTTCTGCTTATGGAAACAAAATAAAATACGATGTAATGAAAATGAAAACAATAAAATCAAATATTAAATCCAAACTATTCAATCGTCTAACGTAGGTATTCTGCCACAAATCTAACTCGCACATGTCGATGCTTAAATGGTCAAAACATACAATAAAATCAATACACTTAAAATGTTTCTTGTTACTCCACTTCTGCCTCAGGAACTAAAATCAACTAACCAGGCTGGCACCACCGAGTGCTTCCACTCAATTTCATTTCTCTCCAGCGACTAAGTCAGGAATCGGAATACACTAGACGTTTGCAAGAACCTCGGAAGTTGGCCAATCAGTGAAGAGCTGTGAAGCCATGATGTCTGGGTCCCTTTTGCAGCACAACAGTAAACAAAGCGTCGAGATGGATGTAGATGAAGACAGACATTCTGTGTTGGCAACGATTCCCGAGATCGAGGATTTAAAGTCAGAACAAAGAGAATGTTTGTTGAATTTTATCAAGGGGAAAGACGTGATTGTCCTTCTTCCTACGGGATTTGGAGCATTACATACGTCATGACCAAACAGCAGCGATTGGTTAAATAAAAAAGTACCTGCCTACCGTCGAGGGAACGAATCCTAATGCTAATGAGGTCAGACGGTTTCCACAAAGTGAAACATTTAATCTGTAACAATGCATGGGGGTCGTGTGTCATTCGCAGCAGCGCTAGTGAGCTCAAATCGACAGGGCATGAAATGCTTTTATACTTTGATTTTAAACCTTTCTATTTCATGAAGACCAAACCAGACCAATTTACAAGGTCAGTTCTGTGGAGAGGCGACCCCGCTCACAGTCAGAATGTTGTTTTTCAAGGTATTTTGGAGCTTTATAACCACCTGTAATTTGATCCATTTAAAGTAGAGCTGTTTAAAATCATAGTGCGGACCCCCTGAAAGTTCCATAGACCACCTTTAAAGTGAGCGTTCTCTTCTTAACAGTCAGTCTGACGGGACACACAGAGACAGTGAGGAGTCATAAGAGCAGAGAGTGAATCCAGCGAGCACAGGCTGAGTGAACGCGGTGTGGATGGTGTGGATGGTGTGGGTGGTGCACAGGTGAGTCACACGGTCAGAGGAGACTGTGTAGAAGGTCAAAGTGCCAGCGGGACAGTCCACATACACTCCCACTCTGCCTGAAGGCGAGGGCTTGATGTTGGGAAAGCAGCTTTCTTTTTTATCGTGAAACACAGAGAAGCCGTGTTCAGAGCAGGACAGACTCCAGGACTGATCGTTGTATCCAAACAAACTGTCATTGCCCTTTCCTTTCCTTCCAATTCCCCTGTAAGACACTGAGATGTCCACCCTTCCACTCCACTCCACCTCCCAGAAACAGCGGCCGATCAGATCAGCAGAGGACAGAATCTGGGCCCAGACCTCAAATCTGTCCGGGTCATCTGGATATGGCTGCTCCTCTTTAACTCGTCTCACCGTCTTTTTGTTGTCGGAGAGTTTGAGACTTCTGTGAGCTGTGTTCACGTCCAGAGTCAGATCACAGAAATCTGATGAAATGACAAAAAAGACAGTTAAAAACTGTCCCAGAATATGTATGATGTTTTATTTTAAAAAGTCTCATGGACGATACTTCTCTAACTGTAATGTAACAATATAATAACACTTACACCTCCTCGGCCCTGGACTGATGTACCAGGCTCCAGCCGGCTTCAGTCTGGAGGAAAGACAGAAGTTACAGCTTTAGTTTTTGTGTCACTCAGAACACTGAGGGGCCAGTTTTGATTCTCAAAAGTGACATAGATCATAAAACCCAGTTTAAAAAGGAGGTACACTGTGCATAAGTAAATTCTACTTTTGAGTCCACTCACTGACACTGGACTGAGCCTCGAGGAGCTCAAAAGGAGAAAGCTCAGAGACCACAAGTTTGTAAAATAAAAGTCCTCATTTAAGATCAAAATAACCATTTGTCTCTAAACTGGAAAAGGTCAACACAGTGTTAAATGAGGTCATTCTTTAGCTCTTATCACTTTACAGGTGTTTTTCTGGCATTAAAGATGAACAAGTTCAATCAAAATGTTCACATCAGTGTTTCAGTGATATAAAGTGAAAGTTAACAGTCAAACTTCACAACCTGTAAAAATATCTATTATAAGTAATCTGATGAACAAAAGTGTGTGTGGAGTGTATTTCCTGTGTAAATCCAGATGTAGTTCATCTTCTCTTTCCTTTGGAGCATTTTGAACTGTGACTGATCTGTCCGGGCACTGTCTAAATCTGGACATGTACCCATGGGAATATTGTGCCTAAGAGTTTGTCTAAGGAATAACCAGTAGTTGTACTTCCTGTTTTCAGTTTGTATTTCCTGTTTTCAGTTTGTACTTCCTCTTCTCCCAGTTCCCAAATCGGCCTCCACAGTGTTAATGGCTCATGGGGTTTCAGATGAACGTTTACTGCTGTTCGTACCTGAGGGTGTGCAGTGTGCAGTAGGGGGCGCTCTGCAGCGCAGACAGGAGCTTCACTCCTGTGTCTCCTGGATGGTTGTAGCTCAGGTCCAATTCTCTGAGATGGGAGGATTTGGACTGCAGAGCTGAGGCCAGAGGAGCGCAGCCTTCCTCTGAGACCAGACAACGGGATAAACTAACAAAAGAAACAGAAACTGTTAGAGAAGAACTGGTGGAACTTATCTTACTGTTCAAAATATTTGCTCTTGTTCTTTGAATTGTAAATGATTTTCATTGAAGTATTGCACTTTTTATACACTACCAGTCAAAAGTCTGGACACATTTTTACGTTGAAGATTCTCACTGATGGCATCAAAACAAAAAACAACTCAACAACAAACAACTCAAAATAACTCCGAACTTATTTTAATCGTAAACAACTCAAACAACTCAAAATAACTCCGAACTTATTTTAGATCGTAGATCGTAGATGTTATCTATCTATCTATCTATCTATCTATTATAGTTGAGTTATTTAACTTTTTCCCTTGCTACATAGTTCCAAATATCTTGCATCACATATTTAATGACTGTATGTATCTAAAATTAAAAAAGAAAGAAAGAAAAAAAAAAAAAGAGGTAAAAATAAAGAAAAAACAGAATGAATGAGATGGTGTGTTCAAACCTTTACTGGTCGTGTATGTATTCATATACATTCTTCATTTCAATAATGTGATATGGTTTTATGTTTCATATTGCTTATTTCAACAGTGTGCTATGTTTCATGCTCTACATGTATGTGTATTGGTGGAATGTTCACCAGTTGCCATGGTGACACATCACACAAAATAGCAAACAGAAAAGTTTTAAAACTTGAAATTCTGAAGAAAAAATACAGAAATGTGTGTTAATACAAAATGGATTTAGACGACATATTTTCAGAAGCCTGTGATCAATGAGAGTTCACGATCCTGTGTAGGAGTTTGATTTTCAACAAAACGCTGAGACTGAAAAACAGTTAGCTAATGCTAGCTAGCTTCTGACTGTAATTTCATTTGAGAGCGACTTGTTTAGCAGCACAAAGCAGCTCATCTGTTGTGGCTGCAATTAAATTGATTCTTTGTGGTCAGATTGTGCTAAAATAAAGATCAGATTAAAGCCCCAGACAAAGCATGCCTACAGTTAGCATACCCCCGCAAGGAACACTGAGTGTGTACACATGCACATCAGTATCCCAGTTATTTGCCATGTCCCGGTTGTTGCAGTATTCAGGATACTGCATATATGTGCACACTGAGAAACTGAGATACTCATATCCCTGTGTACATGATGAGTATCCCAGGTTCTTGACATAATCTTACAAATGTGCAAGCACAAAATATAACTTAATTTAATTTAGTAAACCAGGAAAAATAAAAACAACCATGAGCTCCTTTAGCATGGGAAGCTCGGGAGGTTCCTCACCAGAGGTAAAGAGCTATGATCCACTACGCAGATCAAACACAACGTTTTCAAACACTATTGTACAAGTTCTACTCTACATGAGATTCTTAATTAAAATCTTCTGCATAAATAAACTCAACTTTACAACATATAAACCACAAACACTATAGATCCACATCAGCCCGTTTGATAATATAATTCAGCCTTGATCACATTTGTTTACATTTTACAGAAACAAAACTTAAAACCACATGGCTAATTTGTATGAAATGGTTCGATGCGGGTGGATAATTTAAGTTTGGATTTTTATTTCCTACGAGGAGGACTCAAATAGACATTGAGTTTTTCATTTGAAAGTAAGCATCGATCAAGTGTCTTTTTTTCGGAGTTCAAATGTTTTTGTAACATGCAGAAATAAAATTACATGTTCTCCGTAGCATTTCATTGATTTCATAAATGTAACACAATATAGTCCTTTATACATAGCTAGGTAAAAATTAAATATTATGTAGTCTTATTCTCAATTTAGTGTCAAAAGGGTTTTGTGGCTCCTGGTGTTTTCTTTTCTGTGGGAGATGCTCCAAATGGCTCTTTGAGTATTTAAGGTTGCCGAACCCTGTTCTAGGGTCACTTTTAAAAATGATCAGGCTCAATGTTTGTAAATTTACCTTTTAGATATGTCACTGGAAAGTACAATGTAATTATAACAGGAAAAAAAAGGCCCTTGCCCCCCATCTGAAAGAAAAAACAGTGAAGATGGTGTAATCCCCAAACCTGAGCTCTTCCAGTTTACAGTGACGACTCTTCAGACCAGCAGACAACATCTCCACCCCTGAATCCTTCACGTCGTTGTCACTGAGGTCCAGGACTCTCAGACCAGAGTGGGATTTGAGGACTGAGGACAGAGAGCCACAGCTTTTCTCTGACAGGTGGCAGCTGCTCAGTCTGGAGGAGACAGAAGCTAAGAAGTCAGACTGACCTCTTGACAAAGACAGAAATTCTTCTATGAAAACATGTCAACTAAACAAGCTCATGGATTTTTTTTTTTTTTTTTCAATTTTGTATCATCATAAAAAAAAAAGATAATGATATGAAAAATAAGATCACAAGGTACATGTCATTGCATCCTTGCCTACATCAGCCCTTTCCCCAATGTTGTGTGTCGTCCTGCGTCTTGAACTTAATAAACTCATTTCTCAACCATTATTTCTGTCCTTTAACATAAAAAACTAGATTAATGTGACTTTGACAGATTGTTGTCCATCAGAACCTTTACAGGATGTTAGAGAGCCATCTTCATGGATATCAGCTTCATCGTGACCACGCCTGACAATGTATGACAAATCGAACTGATAATCTTTAATCGCCCATGAGTTTTGCGTCTTTTGGCAAAGTTCGAAGTGTTTTCGATGAAAACTGTTGGATTAGATGTAAAAAGTACAACAATGTACAATTTTGTCAATCCCTGGTTATATTCAATATGGCTGACTTCCTGTAGGGTTGAGGGTGGGTCACAATTTTACAGGCAGGGACATGATTTATTTTTCAGACAGTTTCAGAAATTTACATTAATTTGTTTTCAGGCCAGGCTCCCATTGGCACCAGGAAAATAGATTTTTGAGGTGCTGCTACAGAGTTGTCTCGGGGTCTTCACTCAAAATTGAAGCTCCAAAAGTTTTAAATTTTGGTACCAGCAGTCACTGGTGTGTTTGTCTTTTTTACGACTTGATTTTTGTGTTTTATGGCATTTTAGTACAATTTGAATTAGTCCCTCGCCTGAATGATTCTTTCCCCTCAGCTCAGGGTAGTAGCCTGTAACCATGAAATTCAGATCATACAATACATGAAGAAAGAAATGCTAGTTAAAGAAATATCACATAGAGTAAAACTGTTACATGAACATTGAAAAAGTAAATTTTTCTGACCTGAGCTCTTCCAGTTTACAGTGACGACTCTTCAGTCCAGCAGACAACATCTCCACCCCTGAGTCCTTCACATCGTTGTCACTGAGATCCAGGACTCTCAGACCAGAGTGGGATTTGAGGACTGAGGACAGAGAGCCACAGCTTTTCTCTGACAGGTGACAGCTGCTCAGTCTGCAGGAGACAGGGGCTAAGAAGTCAGACTGACCTCTTGACAAAGACGGAAATTCTTCTATGAAAACATGTCAACTAAACAAGCTCATGGATTTTTAAAAACTTTGTATCATTAGAAGAAAACAGATAATGATATGAAAAATAAGATCACAAGGTACATGCCATTGCATCCTTGCCTACATCAGCCCTTTCCCCAATGTTGTGTGTCGTCCTGCGTCTTGAACTTAATAAACTCATTTCTCAACCATTATTTCTGTGCTATAACAGAAAAAAACTAGATTAATGTGACTTTGACAGATTGTTGTCCATCAGAAGTTTTAGAGGATGTTAAAGAGCCATCTTCATGGATATCAGCTTCATCATGACCACGCCTGACAATATGACAAATCAAACTGATAATCTTTAATCGGCCATGAGTTTTGTGTCTTTTGGCCAAGTTTGAAGTGTTTTGATGAAAACTGTTGGATTAGATGTAAAAAGTACAACAATGTGCAATTTTACCAAAAGTAAATTTTTCTGACCTGAGGTCTTCCAGTTTACAGTGACGACTCTTCAGTCCAGCAGACAACATCTCCACCCCTGAGTCCTTCACATCGTTGTCACTGAGATCCAGGACTCTCAGACCAGAGGAGCTGAGGACTGAGGACAGAGCTTCACAGCTTCTCTCTGACAGGTGACAGCTGCTCAGGCTGGAGACAGAAGACAATGTCTGTTTCTCAATACTCAAGAAAAGTTCAGACTTGGGAAGAACAACAGCATGCAATGCAAGGGCGGAGAATTTGTACTTTGAATTGGAACAGTACTAGGGTCACTGCAGATGTTTCACAAGTACATTAGAAGTCTAAATCAAACCACCCTCTGTCAAACAAAGGTTACTCACAGAGCTTTGTTGGAAGCCTTGACCACTGACAGCAGCCTCAGGAGAGCCTCCTCGGAAGCAGAGTATTTCTTCAGCTCAAACTGGTCTAGATCTTCTGATGATAGCAGGATGAAGCCCAGCGCTGACCACTCAGCAGGAGACAGTCTATCTCCAGACAGACTTCCTGACCTCAGGTACCGTTGGATCTGCTCCACCAGAGAGCGCTCATTCAGTTCATTCAGACAGTGGAGCAGGTTGATGCTCCTCTCTGCAGACACATCCTCACTCAGCTTCTTCTTAATGTACTCAGCTGTTTCCTGATTGGTCTGAGAGCTGCTTCCTGTCTGTGTTCCAAGACTTTGTAGAAGGCTCTGATTGGCCGACAGTGAAAGACCCACAAGGAAGCGGAGGAGCAGATCCAGGTGTCCATTTGGACTCTGTAAGGCCTCGTCCACAGCTGTCTGGTGAAGATGCTTTAGTTTTTTTTTCATACTGAACTTTGAAGGCTTCTTTGTTTTTGAGAGCAGGTTGATCCCATTGTTGATGAAGGTCAGATGGACATGAAGAGCAGCCAGAAACTCCTGAACACTCAAGTGGATGAAGCAGTAGACCTTGTCCTGGTACAGGCCTGGCTCCTCTCTAAAGACCTGTGTGAACAGTCCAGAGTACAAAGAGGCCTCTGCAGCGTCCAGCCCACACTCGCTCAGGTCACTCTCGTAGAAGATCAGGTTTCCTTTCTGCAGCTGCTCAAAGGCCAGTTTTCCCAGAGACTCCACCATCTTCCTGGTCTCTGGAGTCCAGTGTGGGTCCGTCCCAGATCCTCCTTCATATTTGATCTTCTTGACTTTGGCCTGAACCACCAGGAAGTAGCTGTACAGCTGAGTCAGGGTCGTGGGCAGCTCTCCACTCTCTCCACTTTTCAACACATGCTCCAGGACTGTGGCAGCGATCCAGCAGAAGATCGGCATGTAGCACATGATGTGGAGGCTTCTGGACGTCTTGATGTGGGAGATGATTGTGTCGGCCTCATTGCTGAACCTCTTCCTGAAGTACTGCTCCTTCTGTGGGTCGGTGAACCCTCTGACCTCTGTCACCATGGAGATGCACTCAGCAGGGATCTGACTGGCCGCCGCGGGTCGTGTGGTTATCCAGAGGCGAGCGGAGGGAAGAAGGTTCCCCCTGATGAGGTTCACCAGCAGCACGTGCACTGAGGCGGACTCTGTGGGGTCGGTCAGGGCCTCAGTTTTGGTGAAGTCCAGAGGAAGTCTGTACTCGTCCAGACCGTCTAAGATGAAAAGCACCTGGAAGTCTTCAAAGCTGAAGAGTTCTGCTTCTGTTTGACTAAAAAAGTGATGAACAAGTGTCACCAAGCTGAAGCTTCTCTCCTTCAGCACATTGAGTGTTCTGAAAGTGAACGGGAACAGCAGCTGTATGTCCTGGTTGGCTTTGCCTTCAGCCCAGTCCAGACTGAACTTCTGAGTGAGAATGGTTTTCCCGATGCCAGCCACTCCCTTTGTCAGCACTGTTCTGATGGGTCCATGTGTGTGAACTGGGCCTTTAAACATGTCTTCACATGTGATGGTTTTCTCTGCTGGGCCTGGTGTCCTGGAGGCTGTTTCCATGTGTCTGACCTCATGTTCCTGGTTGACCTCTGAAGGCCCTCCCTCTGTGATGTAGAGCTCTGTGTAGATCTGATTCAAAAGGGTGGGGTTTCCTGCTTTAGCGATGCCCTCAAACACACACTCAAACTTCTGCTTCAGGTTAGACTTCAGTTTATGCTGAAAATCTCTAGAATAATTCCCTGCATGAAGACAACAGATACAGACCTGAGTCTCAGAGAATATAAAATGACTGTGAACACATTGTTAAATGTATTATTATTATTATTATTATTATTATTATTATTATTATTATTATTATTAAATGGTCCTACTGCTCCACAGACGCCCAGCCAGATCCTTCTGATTCATCCTCTTCAGGAAGTTCAGTGTGATGTTCAGAACAGCCTCACTGTTTCTCCTCTGCTCTTCATCCTCATCCTTCGAAGGCTCTAAGTATTCTAGATAATCTGTACTCAGAAGCTTGTGGAGTTTCTCCAGCTCCTTCTTGACAAAAATGAGGATGTCCTTCTCCAAAAGCTAAACAGATACATTATTAAAAACATATGTGTGAAACAAGTTCTAATTCATCTGAACATTTCCAAACTGAAAGAATAACTTTGGAGATGTAGACACATTAATAAACCAGAGTTACTCAAACACGTGCAAATGGCACAAAACAAAACTCCAGGTCTGTTTTTGATGACGTAATAACATTATAAGATGGAATAAAGCTCACCAGAGTCCGTTTTGATTAATATAGGGCCTTTACTTACTTCAGTATTTTTTGACTTTTTGTTTTCTTCTTTCCTTCACAAACTGACACTTGACTGATGTCAAACTATGATGAATGTTAACCACAACTCCAAGTCATGACAATTAGAAAAATATGAATCTGTGAAATGCACCTTAAATATGGAGTCCAGCTGCTGGTCACTGGAGACGTCTGGATGCTGCTGCTCCACTCTGTGAAAGAGAGTAAATAAAAATGCCCTCTAAATATTGAAATAGTAGAAAAAGAGTCAATAATACATCACCTAATAACTTTAAAACTCCTTCATTTATACATGAACAGCCTACGTGTTTCAATCTATTGTGGCCTAATTGTTGATGAGCACCTTACCTTTCTTACACATTTTTATACACTTTTAATACGACTATCTGCTCCTTCTTCTCACCCTCCAAACATTATTTGTAATCATCACTCATAGAGACTTACGTTTCTGTTGTAAAAGCTATTGGATGTCCCATAGACTTGTCACTCCTGAGGGCCTCACAGCTTGGATGTTCAAAAGACGCTGATCTGTGGAAGTTTCAGATTTTTTCATGAAATATTTTTACAATATTTTTCATATCATATTTCAGCAAAACCATTTGTAGAGTGTACTGGGTTTTTGTGAAAAAATGAAGAAGTTTGCAGCAGCAGCACAAACACTGAGCAGCTCTTGGCTCTGGAGCCACTGTGGTGGAGGGAGGTACGAGGCCCCTCCCCCAAATCAGTGAACAAAAAACTATGGCGATTTCTCTTATCCTAATAACAGGTTCTAAACACTCCTTGGAAACATAATCACAATCTATCTTCATGGAGAATGTTCCAAAGAATGGCTGGAGGAGTCACTTACTGTGGATCTTGTTCAAAGTTTATGGATCGTCCAATAGACTTTTCAGTCTTCATCGACATGGCGCTGGTCCCAGGAGCAGGTCTGTGGACACAGATGGAGCAGTGGCTTTAGTCTGAGCTCTGACATGCAGAGCATTAAATATTATTTGTATTCATCACGTATCGAGACTTACGTTTCTGTTGTAAAAACTATTGGATGCGACATAGACTTGTCACTCCTGAGGCTCTCGCAGGTTGGATATTCAGAAGACGCTGGTCTGTGGAAATTACAGACTTTTTCATTAAATACATTTACAATAGTTTTCATAACACAGGTTTGAACAAAACCATGTGTAGACTGTAGTGGGTTTTTGTGAAAAACTAAATATGGATTATTCAAAAATAGTGTTGGTGACTTTATTCGCAGAAATGCACACATGCTTCACATGCACCAGTCTGAAGCATCACACCCCCTCTTATTTTATGTTTCTTTTTTTTTTTTCCGTGACTTTCTACATTCTGTTTAATAAATATAAATATATAATGAAAGACTAATGGAATTCTGTAGTAAAGAAAAAAGTTAACTCAACTAAGTAAACTGATGCAAATTTTGAGACATCCAGGAATAAGACACAGTATTATACATTAAAGACTTAAAACAAAAACTACTGGGCTTAGGGCGACTCACACTAGGACTTTAGAACCGTGCTGTGCTCAAACATGATTTCTGTGGGTTCTATGTTCCGCACTCACACCTGCACAACTGAACTGAGCCACGACCAGTGACATCATCACACGGTGCTGTTTGTTTACATGTCGCGTAGCAGAGCGAACGCTTTTAGCAGAGAAATAAGTCCGGCGGCATAATGTATTACATATGTATTAAATAGTGAGACAGATGCATCGTTTTATGATACGCACTCCTCTGTGAGGTTATGGATATAAAAACAGTGTGGAGCAGTGAGGACAGGGGGAGATGAGAGGAGCTAAACTTCTGTCACTGTCCACAGTCCTTACTGAAGGTGAGTGGGAGTTTGTCGTGTGTTTTGGAGTGGAGTTTATTCATTGTTTTCCTCGTATGAGTGACGTCAGCGCACACAGGGTTAGTGTAGTAAAGTTGTGCATGTGTGTGTACCTGAGCTCTATGTCGTGCTTTGGCACACCTCCTCCAACCGGGCCAAAGTCCCAACCATGCCTTGGTTGTTTGCATTCACACTGGACAAACATACGGCGCTTTAAGGGCGATCCGTGTTTGGGCACAGTTCTAAAGTCCTGGTGTGAGTGCAGCCTTACTTACATTTTTTTAACCCTACGTAAAAAGCCAAGTCCAGTTGTTGAGTTTTACCTCAACTTATAAATCAACTAAATATGTTCTATATATATACTTTATATTCCTTAAAGTAGCCATCTTTTGCCTTGTTAAAAATATTTAGTAGTTGTTTTTTTTTCTTTACTGAATAATCCAATGCATCTTACTCCATATATTTGACGTTTTCTTTATTATTTAGAATGTAGAAACTCTTGACCCTTAGTGTACATGGAGCAGTGGCTTTAGTCTGAGCTCTGTGGTTCCTCGGTGGTTCTTCTGTGGTTCCTCTGTTATTCCTCTCTCACCTCTGAGCTTTGATGGGAGCAGCTCCCTCCTCTCTGTGCTCTGTCTCATTCATCCTCTGTTCATTTACTCTGAGAAAAACACAAAACACAGGACACGTTTGGTTTTGTTTACACCAAAAGTACTCATCAAAACATGTATAAAGGTCAGGAGCATTTTCAGGGTTAATAACATTCTCTATCAAATTATCTTATTGGATACATCTTTCTCTTATACTCTTGAAGTCCGTCTGACAGGTTAGACTTGAGTCCAGGGGTGGGGACCTGCAGGTTTTGACTTGAACTCGAGTCAGACAATACACTGTATAAACAAGCGGACTAAGGGAGCCTGACGTCGCCCGTAGTATTCAACGTACAAACATTTTAAGACATTTTAAGAGTTAATGACAGCAGCAGTTACAGAGAGAGAGGACACAATATTCTAATGTAAGTCAATGTGAACCAGGGTCATTGCCTGGAATGTCCCACAGTGTGACATTAAACAGCTCTGCTTTACAGTTCATTTCAATTACAGGTGGTTCTATACAAACAAAGCAATAACAACTCCATTTAGAAAAGCATTTGACAGATCCTCCCCCAGAAAAGTTACACAATGCACCTTTAAATACTCTTTTTTAGTAATTGTCAGTAGGATCATACCCATTGAAACATAAAATAAATGATATTATGGGAAAGTCTTACCTCTCGACAGAGTGAGCGTCTGCAGTGAATCGACTTCCTCAAACTCACAACTGAGCGCGGTTCAGTCACATGTTGAAACTGCTCAGACATGCTCATTCAGGTTGAGTCTTTGTTGACTTCATTAAATACATGAAGTAATATCTGTGTAATTATAGCAGGTCAAATACTTTCTTCTGTGGGGTATTAACTTCTAACACAAAACATATTTAGATCATCACGTGTGCTTTTATTGTTTTGAAAATCTTGTATTAGCCGAAATCAGCATATTAACATAATTTCACTTTTGATTTTGACACTCCAACTCGGGGAGAAAAGGGAAGAGAGACTTGGAGTGTCAAAGTCTAAAGTGAAATTATGTTAATACAAGATTTTCAAAACAATAAAAGGCAGCGTGGTGATCTAAAAAAAGCCGAGAGGGGTCACAACAAACGCAAACGCCGCAACAAATACAAACGCGACAACACAACAAAAAAAAGCCACAACAAACCAAAAAAAGCCACAACAAATACAAACGCTACAACAGCGGAAGTGACCTCTTGACTCTATTTTCCGACGGACCGATCAAGCGGCGAGTGAAGAAGAAGAACTACAAAAAAAGTAAAGGAACGGAGAAGTTGGAAACGTACCGTTTTCCTCGCTGTGACATGCACTTTCGTACGGTCTTGTTTTTATCTGATGGCAAATCCACACCGTCTGTCGATGACACGTCTTGTGTTCACTTAAACGGTTTGAACGCTGCTTGTTACGGAAGCCGAGAGGCCTCACAACAAACGCAAACGCCGCAACAAATACGAATGCGACAACACAACAAAAAAAAGCCACAACAAACCAAAAAAAGCCACAACGGAAATGACCGCGGGACTCTGTTTTAATGCAAACGCCGCAACAAATACAAACGCCACAACACAACGCAAATGCCACAACACATTAAAAAGCCAGAAGAACTACAACGTGAAAAGTAAAGGAACGGAGAAGTTGGAAACGTAAGTAAAAGTAATTTATTGTTTTATCATTATTCGTTTCACGTTGTAGTTCTTCTTCTTCACTTGCCGCTTGATCGGCCCGTCGGAAAATAGAGTCCCGCGGTCACTTCCGTTGTGGCTTTTTAATGTGTTGCGGCATTTGCATTTGTGTCGTGGCGTTTGTATTTGTTGCGGCGTTTGCATTAAAATAGAGTCCCGCGGTCACTTCCGTTGTAGCTTTTTTTGATGTGTTGTGGCTTTTTTTGGTGTGTTGTGGCTTTTTGCTGTGTTGTCGCATTCGTATTTGTTGCGGCATTTGCGTTTGTTGTGACCCCCCTCGGCTTCCGTAAGTTAATACCCCATAGAAGAAAGTATTTGACCTCCTACAATTACACAGTTATTGCTTAATATGTTTGTGAAGTTGTAGTGTACAGTTTTGTATCATGTTTTTGTATATTTATGGAGAATCGTCGCATGGGAGGATGGGTGACGTAGGCTACAAAAATACAGAAGAAAAAGGTAGAAAATGGGTTTAAACAACATATTTTCAGGAGCCTGTGATTGATAAAAACTCGTGGGAGTGACCCTAACCTTAACCGTACTGAAAATGTGAGTTAATTGTTTAACGGTACAAAGCAGCTCACCTGTAGTTACAAATAAACCAGCTCTTTATGACATAATTG